GCTAATTAAAATTGGTTGTGTTTTATAAAATCTCAGAATTACACTAAATAAAAGTAACTGATAAGCAGAGTCAAGTTGATTAGTTACGAAGTGTTATAGTGAGTTTTGGATATTATGTGAAAAAATAATACTTTAAATAAAATATATTAGAGAGAAATAGAAGTAGATAATATTGCTTGAAGCACTCTCTGATATTAAATATAAGCACATCTTCTAATAGGATTTAAACTATATTATGAGGAACTAGCTCTTTCTACTAAATTCAAACTTATAACTCAATTTAAGCAATTTGTTATGCCTTTTTTAAAATACAGGAGGTGATTGGATTTAAGTAAACAAAATACTAGTGTATTCTATTATGCTTTAATTTCTATTTTAATTTCTTGTTATTCCATGTTCTTCTCATTAACAAATTACAAAAAAAAAAAGAATCTAGTTAAAAATTGATTGGACAACTCAACTACGATTTAACCACAATGAAAAATTGAAAAAGGGATAATTAGTTTGTTAGTCCTTATAGTTTCACTTAGTTTTAAATTAGGTCCCCTTAGTTTTTTTTTTTAATCATGTCCTCATTGTTTGGCCAGTTTTAATGAGGGTTCATTCGTTACTAAGACTGTTAGTTTAAATAGATAGGGGCTTATGTGGCGGGCATTCATTATCTTCTTCTTCTTCCTCAGCTTCTCTCCCTCCCTCCTCCCCTCAAGCTCCTTTAAACCACGGATGCTCTTTCTACATCTTCATGGTCCAGCTTGCCCACATTTTCAACTAACAGCCCCCGCTTCCTTCCTCACTTCCCCTTCCATTCTCATTCTCACTCTCTCCATTGCCCGCCAAGCCCCTATCTACTTAAATTGAGCAAACAAGACCTGATAGGGGGGGGGGGAGTACAAGGACCTAATTCAAAACTGGGTAAAACTATAAGAACTAGCAAACTAATTATCCCAATTGAAAATAGTACACCATAAAATATTAATGTTCCCCTCATTCCTTGATTAATTTAGTTCAAAAAACACTACTTAACCACTTTTGGTATATTAATTAATAATTAATATATGTGTGGCTTAAAGAAATGCTAATGAAATAAGCCAAACGACACATGCGTTCCACTGAAGCACAGACGACATTACTGGTTGGATCGAACGATTTGTGACGGGGCCATGTGATTGAAGATGGAGAAGCCATCACGACGCTCTCATGGCTTAATTATCTGGAAAAAAAAAAGCTGGCTAATTAACATACCAAAAGGGTATTTTAGGGTTTATTTTTGTCCTTTAATCTGTTCTTTGCTTGCTTAATCTTAAAATTTGATTAATGTAAAGGGATTTGGAATGGATGTATCGGACAATCTAAGAATGGTCTTGGTCGGCTAGTTCACTTTGATTAATATAACAGAGATATGCAGCCTTGTTTTCTTTCACTATTGATAGAGAGAAACCATGAAGTTCTCAACTTCACACTTAAAAAAGATTAAGAGGAGTTTGGATCCAATGGATCAGGATAGCAAGACATTATCTATTTTTTTTCTAGCTAGAGAATTACTTACTCGATCTTAAATATATGAGCTAGTTGATGGGTTTATTTTGGTTATAACTAGTTCACTTTGTCTCATAGATTTATAATTAGTTTTCTAAACAATCCTATTAATCACAAATACTAAAAGAGATCTTGGGAGAAGTTTCCAATACAAATTATTAAAGGGGCATTTTTAAAAAAAAATTAACACATGTTTATTGCAAATTAAATACTCCTCCGGTCCTTAATATAAGACCCATTTAACTAATTTGATTAGATTAAGAAAGTAAGTTAGTTAATTATAAAAAATGTTTTTCCTAAAATACCATAATCATCTTTCTTAATACCTCATCTTCCTCTTCTACTTGGTTATAGTTGAAGGAGTATCCATAAGGGTAATTAGAGAAAATTGATAAATATGAGAAATGGGTCTTATATTTAGGACCAAAACCAACTCACCAATTGGGTCTTATATTAAGGACCGGAGAAGTCAAATCTAACTATTTTTTTTTAAATCTCAGTATATTTAACTGTTATAGTTAGGAGAAGAGGTAGTAGTAATTTATTAAGAAGAGATTAAATAAGAAAATTTGACATTTAAGTAATGGCATTTGGGCACTGTTCTAAACAAGAGAGGATGATTAATTGTTTTATAAATAGGTTTTCATGGTGCTTAAGCGTTAATGTCACCAGGATGCTCAAGGTATATATGTACCAATTAAATCTTTAACGCATTTGTAATCTTTAATGAGATAATGCAATGTTTCACACACACACACACACACACAAATATAACATTAAAAATACCTTTAATTATTTATGCTTAATAATTTCCTGCTCAATCTAGTTTTAAAGAATTTTAAATATGCCATCTCTATAATGAACGTAGGCTAGTCTTCTATAAATAGCTCTTTTCTTCTTCGCATACTCTCACTGCGCTGCATTGCATCACAGTGCTAATCATAACCAAAAAAAGTCTTCCATTTGCTATTGCCTGCCATATTAATTTCTATACATGACTATGGCTTCCTCTCCTTTAAAGTCACCCATCTTTCTTCTCATTATTGTTGTTGTTGTTCTTTCGCTGTTGGTACAAAACTCAGAATCAAGACTCTTCCCAGCTGCTGGTTTCTCCTCCAAAACCAGCACCAGAAAGATCAACACACAACTTCTGCTGCGTCAACTACTGATCAACATTGTGCCCAGAAACATTACTTCTCATGCAAACAGGTCAATGCTTGAAGGAAGACTGGATCGGCTCTCCCCGGCCGGACCTGATCCTCATCATCATTGATGCTGATGATGATGAGCTTGCATTTGTCCTCAAGAAATTTACAATGTCAGTTTTGAAAAGAGAAAGCCACAATGAATCATGTTCATTCTATCTCATTGTTTGAAAACCACGGTGAAACGTGGCCAAAACCACGTTTCTGCATAACCACCACCATGGTTAATTGCTTCCGCAGAAACGTAGTTTTGACCATGTTGAATTTGTTCTCACACACCCCATGAATATATATCTTGCAATGGGATAGCCAAAAAGAATGATTTGGATCCTTAAATGTATGGAAACGTGAGAGTGGATAGGTCTCACTCTCATATAAAATTATTTCTTTTATACCGTGTCTATCTCTTTTTTCTTACAGCATCGTGCTGTTACAACAGAGAGATAGAATTGCCTAAAGTATAAAAAGAGATAGAGATGAAAATAGGTTTTATTTTCATGGAACCTATATTATGATCATAAGTCAAAGCTTATCATTTTCACTCTATCTTACTTTAAACTTTAAAAATGCAACTAAGAGATCCAAATGTCAAAGGAGAGGTGCATGCATGAGGCAAATTCTTTGCAGTAGGAAGTGTGTTTTTATCTGTTTCTGGCTGAGTATGACTCTTCCTCTCTCCGAGTCTCATAAATTTACATGAAGCATTTAAGATTAAATGCTCTCATCTTATATGTGAACATTATAGTATACACATTATGTTCTTCTCTCTTAAAATTGACATTGATAATTTCTTTAGGAAATGGCAAGAATTATGAGGTTTTGCTACTTCCCAGCAAGATTCATCACAAGTGGTAACTTTTGTTTCTCACATGCAGTTTTTATCTTTAAAATTCATGTGTCATATTTGTGAAGCAATGAGGTCATCTTAGTGTTGAAAGTTATGCTTATGTAATGTAATGATTGAGACTTCAATCTTAGTGTTGAAAGTTATGCTTATGTAATGTAATGATTGGGACTTCAATGCAATCTTACTTTTCTCTTACTCATTTTTCCTTCCTATTTTTCTGTCTACACTTTTGTTAAGGACGTCCAAAGCCAAAAATTCTATTTGTATGTTCTATAAAAGAAAACAATGTATGTTCTATATGCTTTTATTAAACTTCTCGATCAGTTTAATTCATTTGCAATTTTTTTTCCCGTATAAATTGGATTGTCTAGGACATTTCACTTGTTACATTGACAAAGGCTCCTCCTTAATGCACATAAAATCACACACTCTCATCGGATTAATTTAACTGGCAATATTGGAAAAACCCACTCAAACCCAACCTATTGAGCAATTTAATGCTGAAATTTTGCAAGACTGAATCGGTTAATATGATCGATCTGACCTCTGATGGAATTTTAGACTGTGACCCATTGATTTCAGGGTCTAATCCAAACCAAACAATGAACCCATCCAAAAATTTTAAATTAACTTCACCATCATTTTTCCACTCTTCTTCAAGCATCCATGGGTGCCTATTGTGTATTATGTCAATACAAATGCGTCATATTGTGCACATGTATGTGAAATCAATGTTTATTGATATCTTACTCCAACTATCAAGTTTTTTTAGTTGGACCCGCCAACTGTTAATGGAGATAACTTCTTTATGCATTTTTCCCCCTTATCTATAAAGTTTAAGTCTCCCATATTGTTTAAGGAGTACATTAACACGCAGATATTGAGAGGTCCTCTCAATTGCTTAGCTACTTGAGTGAAAATATATGTAAGCAAAACCCACATGGAATCAGAAAGTGATAGATGAATCCACCTCTAACTTTGTCTTCTATCTCTCTCTTCATTTGAAAGTAAATGAGCAATTAAGGATCGGGGTTAGTGCAAAGGATGGCTTCATTTTCATGTGTCTGTGTATATGTAGAATCACTATAATTCATGGATTAACGACAAGGAAAGAGAGGAGTGAAAGAAATAGAAGCATGCCAAAAAATCATCCATGGCTATAAAAGCAGGATTGGATGGTTACTACTGATTATAGACCTAGAGAAGCCATCTCTTATGCTGACTAGCTTGCTAAGGAAGCTCATAGCATGCAAACGAACTATATTGTTCTTAGGGAACCCGATAGAATGTACCAGCTCTCAATTTGCCAGCCTTAATCATCTCCGCAAAAGAAATGGTAAGAAAGAGAAGACTAAAAAGGGATTGATACCCTGCAAATGCAATAAACTAAACTATTCAACCGAGCATATGGTTTGGAGCCAATATTCTCCAATCTTGTCAACAGGATTTATGTACCCTCGGCAACTAACTGCTCTCAGAGATTCACATTATTGAATCGCGGTGTACACCTAATCTAAACAAAACAACAAACCGACACCAACCATGCCGGTCACTCATTACACTGATGGTCCTTATACTGCAAATCTTCAATTAGTTCTGTATAGTATATTCACAAAACCTGCCAGACATCTATTGGAAAGTTCACTAGTTCTTGTTGGCAAAGTTAATTCCTTTCTCAATTGATGCTTTGAGTTCAGACTTAAGGCTATCCAGGCCTTGTTGTTCATAATCCGAAAGAGGACCCAAGCCCAGAACTTCGTCCACACCATTCTTCCCAAGCCTCACCTGCAAACATTTAAGATCACCAGTTAGAACACACAAAGCCCACATGCTCAAATAAATGAGGGTAGGAAATTTAGGCATTGACGTGGCATCAATTTCCCCCCGGGGAGGGGGGATGAAGATATGATCCAGAATAAGTGTCACAGTTCAATCACCTTTGAAGCAAAGAAAGGCAGCTCAGTGACACCGGATTGCACAAATGAGCACTCAACCACATCTGGGACCCCATTGAGTCCTTTGAGGCAAGCATCAGCATAAAGTGCTCCAGCATAGCTGCAAAAGCCAAGAACCTCGTGGATCCAGTGTTCATCTTTAGACCATAAAAGCATAGTTAATACAAATTGAAAGATTCAAGCCTCTTGGAATTAACAATCCCTAAGAATAGGAAATGTCCGAGGGGAAGCATAAAACCACAAGCCCAGATAAGCACAACCTACCCATCAAATGATCAACTTGTTTATGCTTGAGATTCACAACCATTATTTCAAAAGCTCATTTCAAAACCATACATCTTCAATTATTTTCAACAAATTATCTAACTTCAACTTCCTTATGTATCTTTGTACTTAACAGGATAACCTAAATTGTCTATAATTCGCTGCAACAAAGCATTTAAGAGAATGAGCACACTTACGCCATTGACAATGTTGCAGAGCCCTTTCCAGCCTTTGCTTCCACAACCTCTGTTCCTCCATCTTGTGTTCGTTTTGTCAGAGCCTTAATATCATCATCTCCTAGATTGGCTTTTGGCGATGCCTATTGCAGTGAAAATGTTCAAAAGTTAGGCAAGTTCATGTACAGGAAGGCAGTCAAACAAGACATCACAGAATACAAATGTTGGGCGTGAGAGCAAGAAGATACTTGAGAAAATAGGGGGAGAATAGTAATGCCTGCATGGCCACCTACGAGAGGCACATTAACCTCTGCAGAAATATGCACAAACCAAGTAATCAGTGACACATGATAATAGGCGTAAAAGAAATTTAAATTGCTATTCAGCAATCAAATAATAGCATTCAACAATCAAAAACCTCAACCCCTAAAGCCCACCCACACCCCAAAAAAATAAGAAAGATAAACTAAATGGTTGAATTTTCTTCTCAAGTTGGGTTGTTAGCCACTCTTCGAAAGACCTAATAACTGAAATTTCATCCCAGACAACCACCCCCCCCCCCCAAAAAAAATCATCTCTAGGTGGCCAAATAAACATACTAGCACAACCAGAAAAGACAAAAAGGTACCTACAAATTTAAAAAATTTTACATACCAGAAACTGGAACTTTTGCCTTCCCAGCATAGAAAGTTTTTGCCCTCACAACATCAAGGGTAGTAACCCCAAACAACTTCCTTTCATCGTAAGTCCCTGCCTTCTTGAAAACCTCAGCGGCAATTGGAACAGTGGAGTTCACAGGATTACTTATCATGTTAACAAGTGCCTGAATTCATACGAGAATAAACATAATCATTTTCAAATGTTCACACATAAAGCAGACTTGCAGCGCACAATGTAGCCAAATTATATGATTTATACGGTTTAACATTGATGAAATGAATGTATTGAAGATATCTAGGAAAACATCCAATCACACCGTTAGTCAACATGTAAAATAATTCAAATGAATCATTCATGTCATCCCGGGAATCAAGTCCGGCAAAAGCAAAACGCCAAAACGATGTAGAATAAAAGGGAGGGAGCCTTAAAAAGAAAAAACAAAAGCCGATCAGTCATCAACAATCACAACCAATCCTCATTCTACCAAGGAAATCACTGTAGCATATGGGTTTTCTACAATGTATTCAAAGCAACTTAACACTGACAGTAGTTCGCGACAACAACCGTAAAATGAATACTAAAACACTCGAAGGGAAAAGATACCCACGTTCGGACAGTACTTGGCAATAGCATTGCAGAGTGATTTGACGATGCCCGCATTAATGTTAAAAAGATCATCACGTGTCATTCCAGGCTTTCTGGGCACACCAGCGGGAATAATAACAACATCTGATCCTTCCAAAGCCTTCCCAAGCTCATCTTCACCTTGATATCCGGCCACCTTCAACTCCAATGCATAAACATCTTATTAAATTATACTACAACATCAAAGTACTGTAAATTCCACACTCTTATTCCGTACTCTCGCAAATTCCACAAAGAGATGAACAAACAAGTGTACCTCAGATCTTGTGTTAATGTGGCTTACATCAGCCGCGACACCGGGGGTTCCAGCTATATCGTAAAGTGAAAGTCTTGAGACATGGGGATTGAGCTTCATCAACAATGATAGGGGCTGACCAATCCCACCGGCGGCTCCGAGTATGGCCACTTTCCGTTCAGGGATTGCATCGCTGGAATACCCACGGCGTGCAAGAAAAGAGGAGCCACAAGCCACGGCTGAGCGTAAGGATCGGAGCACCGACGGGTTCACCATTGTCTATCGTAACTTTCCGACAAAAATGCAAGAAAATACGAGTGCCCGAGAGGAAGTGAACAGAGGGTTTAACAATAACGAGCCAGTTTCACGGGTAACAGTAATAAAAACAAGAAGAACCGAGTCGAGTCAAGCTATTTTGTTCTAGGAAAAAATAAAGCTCAAGCACTTATACGTACTATGTTAAATCTTTTTATTACATATAATTATGTGTCTTTTTCATAAAAATTTGTAATTAAATAATATTAAATATTAATATTTTAAAAATAGAATGGATTGAAAAACTTAATACAATAACTATTAAAAAACTTGATGTAAGTATTATGTATTGTGGTTGTAGATAATTGGGACAAAATCCATAAAAAAATTTTAGATGCTTCTTTTTTTTTTTAATAACAATTTGTAACAGGAGCTATTACATGTCAGCACCAAGAATTATAGGATTCTGAGAAGCATCTCGCTGAAGAACGTCACGTATGTAGTGCTTGTTTGGATCAGCAATTAAGACTGTAATGTCCCGTTTGGTAGAAAGCATTAAAAATTAGGAGTAGGAATTGGGATTAGTATTAAAAAAATCTATTAAAAAAGTATTTGGTATAAAAGATTACTCGTTATATAGGATTAGTTAAACCCATATACGTGGGATTGGGGAATACCATAAGGGGAAGTAGTATTCTTCAATCCCACCTCTATAGGTTTATCCAATTCCATATAACAAGCAATTAATCATACTAAATACTATTTCAATGATTTTTTTTAATTGCAATTACAATATCTATATTTTATTTTTAATGTTTCCTACCAAACGGGACCTAAAAGTTATTTTATTTTTCTGATAAGCCCGTTTGGAAAGTTGGAAGGTGTTTGGCAAAGCTTATAAGTCATCTAACTTGGGTTCAAAAAGCTGGATTGAAATAGATTTTTACATAAACTGATATTTGTAGGGCCTGTTTGAGTTCACATTTGGGATCCCAAATGTGCATCTCAACCTGCAAAAACTCCTTTTATGTTAAAAGTGATGTTTGGCACACTGTTTTTACAATTTGGCTTTTGGGTCTAAATGGACTTTTGGGATAAAGCTGATGGATCTTGCTTTTCACAGTGAGAAGAATACGTGAAATGGGGAGAAAGGTTACAATATTTTGAGTTTTCCTAGCATTATGTGTTCTTGTTTTATTTGCAGTTGTAATATATTTAATTAAGTATTTTAGTATTTTTCAATTTCCTTCTAATAATAAATTAAATTTTTTTTATTTTTAATAATTTTATTTTTAATACTTCTTTTAAAATGGTCACATTATATATATAATTTCTTTCTAATAATGAATCAAATTTCTTTACTTTTAATAATTTTATTTTTCTTACTTCTTTTAAAATAGTCACATTATATATATCTAATATTAGATATGTATTATTTAATAAAATTTATATCCTTTTAAATCATTTTGCATCCAAACTTATTTTTATATTTATCATCCAAACAAGTTTAAACTTCTCAAACTGATTTTTTTACAAAAACCAATTCAAATATAAATCACATTATCCTATCTGACTTTTACTCAATCTGACTTCTATAAAAGTCAGATTGAAAAAAAAAAATACTTCTATCACCGCTGTACCCAACCTTATGGAAATCAAATCGGGCTTACCGTTGGAATTGTATATGCAGGTGGGGTCCATTGGAAGGTATCCAGTCCCACGAGTTGTTGACTGTTCTTCAGAATTAGGCCCACCATCCAAGTCTGACCTTTCCTCTTTGTTCATTCCCCTCTATCAACCAATTGCTATTTGAGTACCATTGGGGTAACTGTTGTTCTTTTTCTTCTTTTATTAATTTGATTTTGTTTAATCAATTAAAAATTTAGAATTAAGCAGTAAATTAAAATATAAATTGTTTAAATATAATAATCTAAAGAGTTCAGGTTATGAAAAATAGTAGTAAGAATTTACTCTTCTTCGATATGAATAAAAATTTTTCAATTTTTTATATTTTATTTGTTGAAAATTAATATACTTTAAATTATGAAAAATGTATGATATTCGTATTCTATAATACGTAAAATTCTTATAAGTTCATTTACAAATTTTATTTAACAAAAGTGTATTTTTAAAAAATTGTCTTTTTGAGGTATCTCACATATAAAAGTTGTCTCAAGTTAACAAAAAAAATTACATAAAATTTCTCTCGGTAAAAAAAATTGTATTTTAAAAAAAATATTACTTAGTTGAAGTGAGATATCCAACACCAAATGGATATCTAGGTCCAATACTAAATTAATTTTAATTCATTATATTATGTAAAATCATTTTTTAATCATGTTTTATTACTTATTAAAACTCATACTCATTTTGATAATTTTACAAACTTACTTTTACTCAATCATAATCTAAACAACCTTTTACTAATCTCACTTTTACAAACTAGCTTTTCTAAATTTCAATCAAAACCCAATTCAGTTTATCCGATTTAGTTTTTATCCAGCTTTACTTTTTCATAAACCAAACTGACAATAAACTACCTTTTCAATTACTAATCCAAACGGACCCCTAGTCTAGTGGACCACGAAAAGCAGCAAAATCAATCCCCATATTACGTGCTTGTGCGGCCAATGCCTCCGCCACGGTGGTCACGTCTCGCGAACAAACAACCACTTCAACCTTCCAGTCCCGATCCATCATCTGCTGGATTCCAACCAGAATGCTGTAATCCGGATGCTCAGAAGGAATGGAAGATTGAACAGGGGTGATTAAGTCAGTACAATCACTCTCAACAATCAGGCGACATAAGTCAATATGCATAAAAATTTATCATGTTTTTTCTCCAGTAAAATTTCTAATGAATTTTTCGGCTAATTAATTACAGATCATAATAACTTTATTAACTCTCATATTTTACAATTTACAATATTTTATATTAATAGTTACTTTCAAAAATGAAAATCACTTTTTCGAGGACTATTTTTATATATTTATCTCTTACAATGCAAAATTACTTAAAATAAATTACCCAAATATCCTAAAATATCTGCAATAATATAAAAATCTATTTAATTAAATAAATTGGTCAATTGGCAGAATGAATTTAGAAACTGTTGTTATATCCAAAAGGATCACTCATGACTCCTTCATAACCAAAGTCTACAGTCCAGGTAAAAAAAGAATAAACAAAACGAATACTTTTTTTGTTTTTTCTAATAACAAAAACAGGACTTCTTCACAGCCTAAGTCTACAACCCAGAGAGTAGATAGAAAGTAAGTAAACAGAGGGAGTAATCAATGACAATATCACAACACCGTCTTGGAGTTGGAGGTTATTCGGATCCTCCATTTCAGTAGTAATGCCCTTCAACGTAGTGCTGAGCTTTCCACGTAACACTCACTCACTCACTCACCCAACAAACTTGCAAAGAGAATGGATTTAAGGAAAGAAAATAGAAAGAAATGACTTTGCTTTTTGTTTTTTAATTGCATTTTTGTGAGCTTCTTTCTAGTTAAGGAATCAAATTTGATTTTACTTCTATATTTTATTAACAAGATGCCATCAAGTTTCCAAGTAAGGAAACTAAATCTAATTTTGCTTCTATATTTTATTAGCAAGTTGTCATTAAGATTACTTCATATGAAGAAAATTCTGATCTATGTATAGGAGGAGGCAACATATGCAACTGCAATACACATGCTGCCTACTTCTATCCATAGATCAAGATTTCTTTCATATAAAATAACCTTAATGACAACTTACTAATAAAATATAGAAGCAAAATCAAATTTGGTTTTCTTGAGTAGGAAGAAAAATTAAAACAAAAAAGCAAATTCATTTCTTTCTATAGGTTTCTTCAAAATATACGTATCATCCTTATGTTCCATCAGTTTTCTTCAGCCTACATGTGCTGATCAACTTCTTTCCTACATGCTATACCTTTCTCAGCTTTTGTTGACCAGTCTCTCCATTTTGAACATTTCAGCGTTTCTTGATTCTGGCATCTGACAACAGAACATAACAGATATGTCACAACCTTATAAGCTACAATGAAAAGTTCGGATTCTCTCTCACTTCTCAACAAAACAGTAATAAAGCCCGATTTTGGCAATGACTCGTGAAAATGTCATGAAAGCCCTTTCAACCTTTCAACAAATCAGAGCCTGATTTCAGCAGTAACTCATTATAAAATACCAAGGAAAGCTAAGACTAATAAAAGGTATGCTCCCCCGTTTCCTAACAAGAAGTATCAAACACTTGCATTTTGATATGAACTTGTGTGAAGATATGATTGAAAGCACAGATTGAAGCCCTTAAATGTATCTCTACCCAAGAGTTTATCCTTATGCCTCAACTCTCATTAAAATAATAATAATAATAAATTTATGATATTTGTTAAGACGCTTGGAAGACGCAGAATATAAACTGATAGAAGGGAGAAGTTATGCGATAAAGTTGCCTAATATTATTATGGTGATTTTTTTATCTAAAAATAATAGTCGGTAATGAAAAAAAATATGCACTAGTAATCGGTCACTTTGACATGAATTAAATGCCCCACTTGAGAGTTTTATATGATTATTAAGGACCTAAAGGCCCTTTAGTAAAATTTTGAAATTTTTTGTCCTCGAAATTAAATTGAAGCTTGGGACCCAAATTGTCATTCCCCAACCCCAAACCAAAAAAAATAAAAAAGAAAAGAAACTCTCAAGAGCCTGCAGTAGTTATGAAGAGCATCTCTCAAGGTCATCCTCAAATGCACATGTATTTGGACAAGAAAAAATAAATGTTATTGGGCACAGATATCTAGTTTTTGTGGATATAAAAGAAAAGAGTAATAAAAGTTGAAGCACTTTTAAACAGGACCTAAGCCTAAGCAACAGCATTAAGCACAAACCTTTACGTGCAATCTGAACAGCATTCTTCTTTCTTCAATAATGTCAAAATTGAGGCCAGTGTGAGGGAATGCAAAAGGAAACGGACCATTGGTTCATTCTTCAGTCTTTCTTATCCACTCCAGAATACGAGAACAATCTTCATCTTTCATGAAATGCCTTCATAAGAAACTTATTTGTTAAGCTCTTTGCATCAATGAAATATAATTATTACCATTATTCCGTCTCCGTGAAAGTATACCTATTTTTTGTGCGGTAAGACTTAAGTTGAGCAGCTTCTTGGCGATTAGATATATCTTTAGACATTCTAAGGTGTTCAGGCACAACGAGCTTTCCACTCCAATCATGATATGCATTGTCAATGAATTCAATAATTGCATCCTGCCACAAGTTGTTCATCACACGATCACCACGATAAAACTATATGAATGAAATAACACAACTGCATAAGGAGGGGAGGGGGGATATAAACAGAAGGAAACCACTAATTTGAGGGAAAATTGATTAACTTGAAATATTATATAAAAACATTTCTTGTACTATCCTAACAAGTGTCAATTACCGAAACACAATATAAGTAGTTGCACGCGGATCATTAACTATGCAAAGCAGATTATAGAGCAACAGCAAGCGGCAAGGAAGTTTTATTACCAGTGGCTTGGAAGCATCGAGCCAGTGGTAAATATGATCATTGCGAAACCATGTCAATTGTCTTTTTGCAAAATTCCTGCATGGAAACAAAAAATACAGGTATCTATATCTCATCACTGGGTAGGGTAATCCAGCAACAGTTTATCTCATTCACATCAAGAAGAATGCCCAACAAAGCTCTGGGAAAGTACGAAAATAAATGCTCTCCAAACACAATAGTCAAACACAAGCTACCACATATAAATATTTATTAAATCAAAGCAGTAGAAGATATTACAACAGGCGAACAAATCGTTCATTCAAAATTTTGTTCATAGGATGCCAAGCCTGTGTAATATCCGATGTCCTACGACATTGAAATGCAAAAAGGTTATCATCGGAAGATGGAAAATTTATATTTGTAGGTTCATATGTCAAATCAAAAGCCAAGCTCGTAAACTTATAAAAAGATTATGAAAACAGCAATCTTCACAAAACTGCATCACCCCGAACTTCAGGTGATCCTTTTCTGATATTGATTAGGCCAATCCCATTGAAAAAAGATTACATGTACAGATTGAACAAAGGCCATTACCTAGTTTCTTTTTGAAATTCAGACAAAAAATTGTAAAATTCTTCAGCTGAACTCTGCCCTCCATGTCGTTGGCATCTAAGTAGGTATTCCATAGCCTGAAATTATATAGGGAAATATTAGAATATATCCAACAATTTATATAGCTGTTACAGTGACCAAATGACAAAAAATACTCAAGAAAAAACATATTGCGAATATCATCAGCAGGATAGTCTACTAGTTATCATCTGCACATTGTAAAACTTCAATGAAAATAGACAAAAGAAACGATATACTTGTCTATAGCCGATTGCTCGTGTTGCAGAATTGGAGTTGGGATGAAGACCCAACTTTAGAAGCCATCGAGCCTCAGACAGAATCCCATCCCTTCCTGCAGTTTTAAAAAAAGCCAAGACACCAAGGAATGAGTCGTATGTTAGTGCAGAGCATGTACACAAATGAACTTCTAATAACATCTAGTCGTCTACCAAGACTTGTAAATTATTAACCCCCACAGGAGGCCAATTACATAACCAATACAGGAAATGCTGCTTAACGGAAACCACAGAGAAGAATGTACTACAATATCTATGGGAAGCATAATTGAATAAAGAAAATTCAGATAAACTTTTCATACATTTTCTATTTAGATTTTTCAACAAAAACATGACAGTCAGATCATTTTGCAGTTGTCATATTTTTATTGGAGAGGTTGAACACAAAAATACAAGGAACTTTATTTGAAACTAGTCCTTGATGAATTACAAATAATGTCTTTCCGGCTCACAAATCACATATACCTAATAGCATATCTTCACACCGCTGGTCGATTGTTTTATATAGGTCAAGCCTCTGACTAGAAAGGAAAAAGCATATGAACTCATAAGGCAAATCTGAGAACTTGGAATCTTCCACTGAATTGCCAGAAATTTTGACATCGGAAGATTCAAAACCATTGGTATCACTAGAATCACCCAGTTCCCTGAAAGAATCATACGGCACCCGAAAAGCAGAAGGAGGTGATCCACTAGACTGCCATTCCAAAAGAATATAAATGAATGATAAAAAGCATATTGTAAGGATATCCCAGAGAACATAATAATCTAGACCTCTGAAAAATAATAGATGACATATACATCCCCACAGACCATGGAAGTATGATTAGTTTATTAATAATGAACAGTAGCTAAAGCTAATAATTTCGGAAATATTCAATGGCAATGGAGCCACAGTAAGGTACTTCTTTATATACTCATTCTTGCTAGCGATGTAACTGCATTTGTCCTCATTACTGCCATCATGCACAACAAATGAGCAAAAGAGGTAGGCAGGATAAGGAAATAGATAAGATTAACAGCCGGTTTGGTATGCAAAATTGTATAGAACGGAATGAAACTTGAAATTAAAAATTAAAAAAAGAAAAAAAAAAAAAAAAAAAAAAAAGCAAAACAACTGATTTTGAGGATGAAGAATTACCCTTGTCCCACTTTTGAAAAAATAAAAAAGCGGTAAACTCTTGGGTAGTAATCATAAGAATATAGTAAACATTGCCTAGAACAAAGAAAGGGAATCCCTTCTTCCTTCCGTGATAGCTGACAAGCCCAAAGAGCACTTCCTTCATTGTTCAGGTGACTTTTGAAGTTAGCATGGTTATTACACAAGGTAGATCCATTTAGATTTTCTTACGGAAAAAATTGCAAGCTTACTTTGATAATCTCTAGGCTACGCCGTAATCGATACCAATCATTCACTGCTAAAGTTTGGGCCTTTGCATCACCTGCATCTACCACCAACTGCACAGCAGCATCCCAATCTTCATTTTTCTGTAGTTCAGCTAACTCTGAATACACTTTGGATTTGACATATGCAGAAGCTTTGGGAACATCTGGTTTTCCATATATGAACCTGATATTTTGAAGCTCAAACAACATAACATATAGATATCTTTGTGCTGCATTAGCTGATTTTAATAACTTACTGTGAATAAACTGAGGAATTCATTCGGAAAAAATAAGACATACCATCGTAAATACAACCCAGTTCCCCCAACAACTATGGGAACACGGCCATTGTCAAGGATACATCTTGTAGCTTGCCTTGCATCCTCAAAAAATTGTCCAACTGAGTAGTCTGATAAATAATAGGTTTCTCAAACATGTCAAAAGTGAATAGCATCTTCTAGTCATATATGTTGAAGCAAAGACAGCCAGCCCAACGAAGAACCTAAGAACATACCTTTAGATGGATGCAATATGTCAATCAGATGATGTTTTACCTCCTGACAAGAATAATTAAAAAAAAAAAAAAGAATAAAAATCTACAAACGAAGTTCCAGATTTCCAGTTATTAAATGATGGACAAAATGGATGGGTCGATATAAAATGCATTTCATTATCATTGAATTGGCACCATTTAACATTTGAAATTTCATTAATACATAATGTGAACACTGATAATGCATACAGAATAAAGGGGAAAAAATCCTAAGGATCATATCATATACTATTCTACAAAGTGTCTGCTCTTTTTTCTTTCTTTTCAATCGATGTTTTAGGTTTACTGTTTCAAGCAATTAAATCAGAGAAAAAGATAGTTAAAATGTTAATTTCAATGCCAAGGATGGTTGAAATCACCAACAGCAAAAAGTCTCCCCAAAAGCAAATCTTGACAAGTGAAACAGTAACCAAAGTTCCATTACTGAAAAGAAAGAGCAAAAAAGGTGTCCAGAATTCTAAAAGTTAATCACACAAAACTGGCCCAGGCAACTCGAGTAAACAAATGACATGGAAAATTGAAAAATTTACAATAGACCCTCTAGACGGCAACATGAAGGAACAGGGGAATATTTGAACAAGAGAATATTCTACGTCCAAATTGTGGAACCTTTCTATCATTTGGGGAGGGTTTAGCTGATCCAACATCAAGACCTTGGTACACCTGCCATAAAAGTCATCTTTGATTAAATATAGATTAAAGGAAAAATCTGTACCTTTACTATTATAAGTAAAAGGGATGACAATGAATAAAGAAAATCCCGTTAATATATGTAGTCACGTAGATACGAATGCTTTCTGATATGTAAATATAATGGAAAAGAGGGAGTTAGTTAGTATTAGTTACTAAGTCCTTAGGCCTATAAATAGGGGGCTTGGGTAAGTTGTGATCAGACTTGCGACTCACTTAAGTGAATGGAATGAATTTTCCCTCCTCTCTCTTCTCCCTCTGTCTCTCTCTCGTTCTTCTTCCCAGATTTCTTCTTCTCCCTCTGTCTCTCTCTCGTTCTTCTTCCCAGATTTCTTCTTCTTCCTCTCTCTCCTCTAATTTCTCTACAATATCTTAGCACTTTCCATGGTTTACTCTCGAGAATTAAATCTCATAGCATTTTGAGACTCAGAAGGCAAAACTAGTTTCTCACTTTTCAGTTACTACTACAATACACTGCAGTAGTGCAATATGAGGAAATAATCGTATATATAACTCCACACTTCTTTCTTCACACGCTAATTCTTTTTTTCTCTTTCACTTGCTAAATTTTATCAGAAAACTGACGAATTAGTGAGGATTAAAAAATTAAGTTAATCTTTCATTTTCTGTTTGATGAAATAGAGAAAAAGAACCATAACTTGGCGCCCAAAATACCAAACTAAGAGGTGAAGCAACATATAAATGACTACTTAGTATGCTTATGTGGTGGAAGAACCTTCCATTTTCCAAGAACCCACAACTACACAAAGGCACAAAGCGACAAGGCACGGAGCACATCACTCATCTTTCACAATATCCAACTCTAAACAACAGGCAATGCTCTCGAAAACTCTCAACTCTTCCCTCTAACCCAAATGTCACACAAAAATCTCGCCCCCAATAATCGCTCTTTCCCTCACTTCATAAAAGGAAAAAGCTGAAATCCCCCCCCCCAAAAAAAAGCCTCTACTTCATCCTCTAATCCACTTCATTCAGCAAACCTGGACAGAGTCGGCACTGACAATTTCTCCATTGAGCCGCTTAGCGAGTTCCAATGCAAGCCGACTTTTACCGGCGCCAGTAGGTCCAGAAATCACAATGACTTTCTCTCTAGTCTCCTTCTTCTTGTACGTTTCAGAGACAGCAGACGCGGTGACCAGAGCCCGCCGGCACCGGCAAGTAAGTGAGAAACGAAGTGGCGGAAAAAGCGGTGTCTCCGGGAGGTGAGGAAAACGCAGGCAACGCGTACGGAGACTGCACACCCCACTGTTAACCATATTCTCTTAAAATCCTTCGAACGGCAGCAGATGAAATTGTATGATTTGCTTTCATAGGGGAACAATTAATAAAAGATACTCCTCCCGTGTTAACACTCAATTTTTGACTTGGTTTTGGTTCTAAATATAAATATAAGACCTATTTTTTATATTTATCAATTTTCTCTTAATTACCCCTATGAATACTCCTTTAAGTATAATCAAGTAAAAGAGGTATTATAAAAGATGATTATGGTGTTTTAGGAAAAATGTGTCACTTTTCTTATAATTAACTAACTTACTTAACTTCCTTAATCTAATCAAATTATTTAAATGGGTCTTATATTAAGGACCGGAGGAGTATAAAAAATTTGATGGTAATAAATATGTATTTTTTTTAAAAAAAAAATGTGCTTACTGATGATGTATATTAATTATAAGTTTATAACTACTACTACCTCTGATCCTTAATATAAAATTTTGTTTGACTTTTATTTTGATCTTAAATATAAAATCTCAATCCACTTTGTTTCTCATATTTATGTATTTTTTACCTAATGTCGTCCTTCTAATAATGATAGTTCTAACCAATATATTTGATTGGCAAGGATATTTTAGGAAAAATAACATTTATTTATTACAAATAACTAACTTTATTTTTTTCCTTAATATACTCAAATTAGTCAACTAGCTCTTATAATTAGGACCGGAGGTAGTATTTAGTAAAAATTTTGATATGTGTAACTATTATAAGAACTATTTTAAAAAAATAGATAAATATAATAGCAAAGTGAATTAAGGTTTTATATTTATAACTAAATTGAACATTAAACTAACTCTTATATTAAAAATCTGAGATACTATCATATATGTGAAGATTTTTTTTCTCCCAATAGTGAAGAAATTCATTAGTAGTAGAAATAAAGTATGATTATATTTATAATAAAACCATGGACTCATGCGTGAAGATGTTTTTTTTAAGTACAGTGAGGAACTATAGATAGGGTTATTATATATTTTAGTAAAAATATACATAATATTAATTAATAATTTTTGTCTCCTAATTTACTTTTCATATATTCTCCTGTTCTTTGTGGTTCAACTACACATTCCTGCATTTATATATTTTATATACCAACTTTTCTTCAAAACATACCAAATAAAATCAAATATTTAACAGTGAGGTGTGTAGTAATCACAAAAATTAAAAGCATTTTTATGTAAATTGAGAGAAAAAAATTTTTACATCCTTACTATGTATAATTAGTTTTAAAATCATCGTTTCCAGACACCTCATAAATCTTGTAAGCGGCTTAATAATGCGTTCCTATCACATTTTTATTAGTTTTTATCTTTATTTAAATTGTACACTTTTTAAAATATTTTTTCCCGTAAAATCTCTAAACAATATGAAAATCAATTGCTTTTTGAAAAAGTTTAAATAGATGGACCATAAATTGATAAAACAATTTCACATAAAAATCAGAATTGATAAAAAAAAAAAAGTTCAAAAGACCAAAATAATATTTTACTCTGTAAAAATGCTTTGCAAATTTGTAAATACAGAAAGACTTTCAAATTTCTAATGTAGTAACATGTTGGGGAAAAACTTCTACGTGCCTTGAAAGTTAACTATCGAATGCAGTCAACATAAATCGAAAAATATACTACCTCCTGTCGTAATTATAAAAACCAGTTGACTAATTTGAGGAAATTAAGAAAGTAAGTTGAGTTAGTTATTTATCCTAAATAGGTTTTGTCTTTCCTAAAATATCCTTACTAATCAAGTATATTGATTAGAATTATCATTGTTAAAAGGGCAACTTTAGAAAAAAAAAATATATAAATATGAGAGACAAAGTGAATTGGGGTCTTATATTTAGAACAAAAATAAAAGTCAAACAGGATTTTATATTAAAGATTGGAGGTAGTATATATATTTATATCCTCAGATATTACTATGAATCTCTTTTCGTCCATTTTACAATCCTTGGATTTAATTTTTCCTCTCTGAATAAATAGTCCCAACGTCACTTAATCCGTAATTTTCCTTCTTCTTCTCCTAATTACCTAAACCAGATCCTACCAACTGTTTGTTGAAAATTCTTAAAAAGTGCTTCAAACCCAAGCAATCTCCCACTTCAAACATCACCAGAAACAAAACAAAACAATGAAAGGCAAAAAAAAAAAAAAAAGAGGAGACGTTTCTTCAACAACAAAGCAAAAGAATTCACAACTACACAAGCATATGATCTCCGCATTTCTCCTTCAACAACCATCATCTCAACTCAATGCATTCTTTCAAGTCTCTCTCTGATAGAAAGATCCATACCCTGTTCCCAATAGTTCTGTCTTCCATTATAATTCTAGGGAGTGTGAGATTAATCTTGGACAGCTTCAAGAGCAACCAGAGCAATATTTTGAAGGTCTATGGGAAGCCTAATGGGGAGAATAACAATGGAGTACACGTCGTTGTTTCGCCCGAGGATCGGCTCAAGGAAGGATGCAATGTGTTTGAAGGGAAATGGGTGTGGGACAATGAGTCATATCCTCTTTATCAAGAACAGAGCTGTCCTTACTTGGTGAAGCAGACCACTTGCCTCAAGAATGGGAGGCCTGATTCTTTCTATCAGAATTGGAGATGGCAGCCCCATGGATGCAATCTCCCAAGGTAATGAACTAACCCCAAAACATGAACACAATATATAAATATTATATATGACACTGTGATATAACAGAACTTGTTGTGTTTGCAGAAATAGTGCTATATAAGATGTTGGCATAGATTGATGTCTATTTTTGGTGTTACATGTAGGGGTATGCTCAAAGTGGTCTATGAAAGAATCAAAAGTTAATAGTAAGGAAAGTATCTCCTCTTATCAATGAGATAAGATAACTGAATTCATTTTTGAAGGGTTCAAAAATAGGTAACACTGCAAAGATGAAGCTGTTGAATTAAAACCAGAGTGATGAAACTTTTTGGGAAGGAAAAATTGTGATTCATTGTTGAATATCTTTGACTAGTTTGAAACAGAACGCCAGAACTTGCAGAACCAGAGTGTAAACTGTTCTTTTTTCTTCTGTTGACCTCAGATTTGATCCGTTGAAGCTGTTGGACATGCTGAGGGGAAAGAGAATGATGTTCATAGGAGACTCGCTACAAAGGGGCCAGTTTGAATCAATGGTATGTTTGGTACAATCTGTAATTCCTGAAGGCAAGAAATCTCTCCACAGAATTCCACCCATGAAGATCTTCAAAATTGAGGTATGTACCAATGTGACCACATTTCAAGCCAGAGGATTTACCAGAAGGGGCCAAGATTTGAAAATATATATATAGTACATCTCCAATTCTAAATCGAGGAGCTAGATAACCATTGTAAAAAGATTAAGAAAATTAGTTATGTTAATTACTTGTAAGCAATATGTATTGATTTCCTAAAATACCATTTTAATCATTTACATTGGAAACTATCCATGGCAGGAGTACGATGCATCGATAGAATACTACTGGGCCCCGTTCATAGTGGAGTCGATTTCAGATCATGCAACAAATCACACTGTTCATAAGCGGATGGTGAGGCTGGACTCCATAGCAAAACATGGCAAGCATTGGCAAGGCGTTGATATTCTGGTGTTTGAGAGTTACATTTGGTGGATGCACAAGCCTTTGGTCAATGCAACGTTAGTGATAGCTTCTTCATGCAAATCATTTTCTTCTTCTTCTTCATCTTCTTCTGTTTCGTTTTGATGGGTATGAAGTTTGAAAAATCTATTTGCCTGTGGATTGGATCAGGTATGGGTTGCCAGACGATGTGAAAGAATACAATGTGACCACAGCATATAGATTGGCATTGAAGACTTGGGCAGATTGGCTTGAGTCAAACATTAATCCCCTCACACAGAAGCTCTTCTTCATGACCATGTCTCCTACTCATCTCTGGTGATTTCTCACTTTACCTTCTAAAATGAACATCTTAAGTTACAAGAGCAAGCTATGAGCTGACAAGCAGGATTAAACCCACCACCTTCTATTTAAAGGAGAGTTTTCATAGCACTAAGTTATAAGGCCATTAACCATATCTAATAGAATTTAAACTCATACTCACCCGGGTTATGAGTTGTGTCGTTATTAATTGAACCAATTTTTGTCTGAGGGGACACATTTAATTTCTCAACAAATAAAAGGGCTGTTTATATTAATTTTCAAAAATATTAAATTATGTGTGTGTGATGATAGCAAAAAAGAGGCATTATATTTTACTTTTGGTTTAATGATATAGTTTGTCAAGACTCGAGAGGAAAGAAAATATGTCCTTCTGACCGTGATTTTCATGTTCTTCAGGAGCTGGGAATGGCAGCCAGGAAGTGATGAGAACTGCTTCAACGAGTCATATCCAATACAAGACCCTTCATATTGGGGCACCGGATCAAACCTGGAGATTATGGAGCTGCTAAAGCAGGCAATAGCAGAACTAAAAATAGATGTGACCCTTTTGAACATTACTCAGTTATCAGAGTACAGAAAAGATGCCCACACTACTATTTATGGAGAACGAAAGGGCAAGCTCCTCACAAAAGAACAAAGAGCTGACCCTAAATCGTTTGCTGATTGCATCCACTGGTGCCTCCCTGGTGTCCCTGATATATGGAATCAAATCCTATATGCCCATCTCTTGACGACATTTCAGAATCTTACCTAAGTATGAGCCACTTTAATCATTTTGATTCATCCAACTGATTGTTTCAATCAATAGAAAATTTTTGGAGCTTTTTCCTTTTTCTTTGTTCTAATAACAAAAATTTCAGGAGGCTAGACCTTGGGCTTACTAGTATCAAGGCATGCCTTATGATTCAAAAGCACTTGAAGAACTTCAAATTTCTAACAAGATTACATTGATAATTATATGCCACTTATATTAGCATTTGCTAAGGAAACGAGGGCTTGTTACTTCTTCCAAAGAGCTCAATATTTGAATCCAAACGAGGTTTAAAGATAATTTAAATTCAAGACAGTAAAAATTAGTTGGAAAAAATTCAGGGGATACATCATAATAATTTAAAAAGAGTAATATTCAACTTAAGAATAAAGACATATCCATAAAATTATTTCATAAGCAAAATCACATTAATTAGTTCGACCTTTGAAACTACCAAATATCTAAGTAATTGATTCCAAGTTACATGAAAGCTGTCAAATAGCAATTAGAATAGATCCCACATAGTTTTCTCGATTAAGTTAATCTTATCTGTATCATTCCCATTTTTTTGAAGGTTCACATCCCACTCAGTTTTAAATGTTTGCTACACTTGTAGATTCTGTAAGTCTGAAGATGTTTAGAATCTAGATGGTGGAGAAGCTTCTGATGCTGCTTGATCACCCTTGAATCATCTTCTTTATACCAAAAAAGTTTAGGATTCTTTTCTGTTAAAGAAAAGAATTGCTAGAAAAGTTAGATTCATCAAAAACTGGATAATGATCTTAATAACGGTATAATACAAACATAATCTATAAAACACCACAAAAGTTAAGTTAAACATGGTTACACAAAAATAAAGAGAATGAATGAGAACCTTGGTTGATCCTCCTTGCATTTGATGACGGACAGAATGGACTTCTTTATCATCTACAAGTACCCAGCTTTGTTCAGACTCATCATCTGTCAAATGAATATCTTCCATCTTGGATTCTATTAAAGTGTTCAGATCTGCATCTGGTAAATAAGGTTGGGGACAACGAAATATATGTTGATATCATCAATTAAGATTCACTTCTAGTAGGCTTCATTTCTGCAGATAAATGCAGAGAAGCCAAAAAATAATGACAGAAACTTGACTAAAAAGGAAGAACTTGTTATGGCCAGGAAAAGAAACATTAAAAGTGACTGCTTTGAGATTGCAAACCCTTTGAATCATTATATCTATCAACGGGAAATTAAAATACTCACAGCATCACAAAAGTGCATTTCTAGCAAAGGAGTTCAGATTCTTTTCTAGTCTTAGCTTTATCAAATCTGAGTACATACAAAGTATTATTACTTTGCATGAAAAATAGCAATACTTTGCCTAGAACTTAAGAAAACAGCCCTGAAGTTTGAGTCTAAAGTTTGCAAGAGATTTTCTAGCAAAGTTCTTGACCTTTCCGTGTACTAAGAGAACATTACACCGAACATATCTAAAGAGAGGCAGTAAAACTAACATGTAATAATAAAATTAACTCGAGTCTTTTCCATGTTTCTCATGTTTCTTCATAGCCAAAGTGAGATCATAATTTTGATATGGCATTGGCTTTGACCAGGGAACTCACTTGATGTATAGCATGACATGATAACATAAATTGACATTTCTTTCATTTTCGTAAACCTACCTGTTTCTGGTGAGAAGGATGATACAGCATTTTTCCAAGCAGAATTTACCTCTCCTCCTCTGTTTTCAGAAAAGTTATTAAAAGGCACCAAATATTGGGGCTCCAGAGTCTCTCCCTCTGAACAAATATAAAACTTCATATTAAACCAAGCATTGTCAGAAATGAGATATCAACAGGATGTCAGAATCACTATAAAAAGGTAGAAAATACCAACCATTTGATTCAACAGATTGTGCACTATCACATGAAACAAGTCCTTGTTGGGATACCATAGAATTATCATAACCACACTCAGAACCTCCAGCTAAATCGATTCCATCTGATTCCATTGTTGATTTTGCAGATGGGTTTCCACCAGCTAAGGAGCTTAATGGTACCTTCTTTTCCATCAACTCAGTTGAAGAAAATAAACTATCTGAAGATTCTACTGAACCAGAAAGGCATTGATTACTGACTGCTATGTTATTACTGATAACTTCTCCTTCCGCTGAGGAGCACTGAGACTTCATATCCATACTGGGACTTTCGTTTGAAATATTACCCATAGTGCCCCATGGGTCAGAATCACAACTATAAAACATCTCACCAGTTGTGGAAGCATCCATAGGCCTGAGAAAATTAGTGACGACGGTTTCATCAGTCACTAATTCTTGTTGGACAAGTATATCCTGAATATTAGAATAAATTCTCTTTCCATTTTTCAAGGTCTGTGTTCCAACCTACGCCAGCAAAGCAATCAAAACAAATGGTTGGAAACACTTTAATAGTATCTCCGTTACTTGATATAAGACCTAATTGACTCATTTAGGGAGATTAAAAAAATTAGCTATAAATAGATGCTGTTTTTTCTAGAATACTCTTACTAATCATGTATATTAGCTAGAACTATTATTTGATGAAACATCTAACACGTGCAACTATTATAAGGATACTTTGACAAAAATGAATACATATGAAAAACAAAATGGATTGGGATCTTATATTTAGGACCAAATTAAAAATTAAACAAATTCTTATATTAAGGACAGGAGATAATATATTATTTCAATGCGACACTATGTGACCACAAAAGCAGAGCTATCAAAATACGTTTCCCCCCCCCCTCATAACTCACACATACATCACATCATTTGTTAAGAGTTTCATGAACTCACATCCTCACGTTTAAGAAAACTTAAGAGAAGTGTTTGTTATAAGTTAGGTTATAAGGTCATATTGCCGTCAAAAATACATTCAACTCATATAATTGATTTAACATCCCAATTATTATACTCCTCCGGTCTTAAATATATGACCCTTATACTACTGTGTATAAGGGTCTTATATTTAGAACCGGAAGAGTATAATAAAAGAAATTTAATATAGTCACATCTAACTACATTCACAATACCCACAAAACTAACAAATTAAATCATTTAACACTGAATTCGCTCATTTATGTGTATAATTTTAAAAAGTTCAAGTGGCTTGACTCTTCATTTTAAGTCAAGCATATTGAGAAAAAAAATTATAAAGATTCAGTTATTTCATCTCAAAATTCAAAAACTAAATTAATAATCACAAAAAAAGTTAATATAATCTTTTGTCCCTCAAGTTGATCCTTATTTTGTCTTGATTCCTCAAGAAACAAAATGATCTAAGTTTATTAGATTATAGGGACCAGTGTTTCAAATTAAAAAAAAAAACTTGAGTAACCAAAACCTATAGTTTGAAACTTGAGGATTAAAATCAAAATAAGAGTAAACTTAAAACCAAAATTTATATTAACCTCTAAAAAAATTTGAGAACTAAAAGTTATGTTTTTCTTAATAAATAACAAGAAAATAATATAAACTTAGAAAAACAAGCAAATATTCAGCTGTGTGAACAGACCAAAAGTAGTGTAAAAAAGCCATATGAAAGTAACATAGTGCTCAAGAAAGAAAGAAAAAGGACCTCTATTATGAGATCTTCCACATTAGCGCCCAATCCCTCAACTTTCAGGTGAATATTATCCAACCATGCTCTTTCCTTTACCTGAAAATCCATGTCCAACACCGACGCTTGCAAATTTTCACTAATGATTTGTAACTGCAAAGCAACCGCTAAAAATTTTTAGTTGTCAAAAATGAGTTAAGAACTTATAGGGCTAAATTTAATAGAAAATCGATATAAAGTCCCTATTTAAAAATTTTATTGGTTAGAAAGACCTAAACTTATGTTGAAATTCTATAGAATACCGATACATTTTATATATAAAAAACATATCAAGTCCTTCTCACTAAATAAGAACTTTTCATCGGTTATACCTCGATTTAACCCCCCAATTATACATGGAAAATTTTGTAATATAATCATGTCAAACTTAAATTACATAATCCACTAAATCTGCAAGCTAAATCATTTAACACTGAATTCATTTAAGTATACACACTAAATCCAGTCCCGATCATAACATATCGTTTATAAACTATAAATAAGATCTTATAATTAAAATTGGAGGTAATACAATTTAACCGACACAAATAAGGAAGTAGTTTGGCACTTGTTCTCCTTTAGTTGATGTCCAATAATTATAAAACCTCGTTTGTAGTCGTAGTAGTTCATAAGCATAGGTGATTAGAAAATATAATTGACCAATTTTTTCTATTGCAGATTTAATTTTTAAACTTTAACTCAAAATAACGTAATTTTTGTTGTTTATTAAATTACAAATTATAGAGATTAATCCGAATAAAAAAACTATAAGGAATAACTTGTTTTGAGTCAAGAAACTATACAAACTAAATTATTTCAAGTCAAAATTAACAAAATAAGTCAACAATTACCAAAAAAAATTTCCAGAACCAAATAAATATTCTATATTTCCTCTTTATAATTCTTATTCTTAAATAAAAAATAAAATATGTAAATGGTATATCAAATAATGAAAAAAAGAACACCTCTTTTATGAGATCTTCCACTTCTTTGCCAACTTCATCAAATTTCTGATAAATATGCTTCAGCCAGCTTACATCCTTTAGCTTGTTAAAATCCATGGCCAACATGCAGGCTTGCAATTGCTGGGTGAATCTAATAATGCAACAACTATAAATAATGAGGTCCAAATTATAACATATTGTTTTTCAAACTTCAGATGAAGGGATTAAATTCTTAGCAAAATTCAAACTCTCCAAAATCTAAAAACAAATTTGAATTGGAAACTGCAACGAATAATATATTAAAAATTTTGTGTAGCTTGAGTAGAAGAGGCAAAAAGAAGACCAACACTAAGATCCTAAGACCAATCATTAAATTAGTCGAAGCAATGTTTAAAAATTAGTGAACAAAAATACAATATTCATCTGATCATAATCAAAATAATACTCCCTCCGGTCCTAAATATAATATCCCTTTTGTAACGTAAGTTACACTACGAAAAGAGTCTCATATTTAAGACCATAGGAGTATAATTCAATTATAACATGCAAAATATTCATAGATAACTTAAACATGGCCTAAGAAAACACAAGAAGACAACAATCTAATAAAAATTCATGAGATTCTACAACTACACAGG